ATACGACCAAGCGTCTCGAATAGCCTCTGCTGAGGAAGTCCTGCTCACTGCCTTCTCGTGGCGGAGGTGCTTTCCCACCAAAGCCGACATCCGGGGTTATAACCGGGTTGGCGGACCACTGGTAGTTCACCTAGTAGAGTTGGCCAAAATCCCTGATTCCAAACCAGCCATGAGGAGGCATACGAACCACACGCACAACTTCCTGGTTGTGGCAGTGGTCATCGGCTCGATTGGGCATTGGGGTGTATTGGGCACCTTGGATGTTTGACTTTCCGAAGGGCCTATTATCCAAGGAACTGGACACCGGCTCCTAATAGATTGAGGTTTTTACACACCGCCCCACTGCCTTGCGGATCAGGCTTTGGCTAGCCAAAGGCTCCGGTTGTGGATTCCCCAAGAAAATTCACCTGCCTTGGTCTGGGCAACCTGACAGTATTCCGCCCATATGCAAATCATGGAACTTTTTCTTTTTCATTAAGATTATTGTACCATGATTTGTTTGGCACACAGTCTGGCTTCAGACGTGCGTGAAACATAATATATAAACCCAAGGTAGTGGGGCGGCGTCTGAAAACTGCTATCCGTTTGGGACAGTGTCCAGTTCATCGAATCGTACGCCTTTTGGACGGGGTCAAACGCCCCGTACACCTCGACCCCCCGTCGAGCCGGTGGCCACTGCCACAACCAAGAAGGTGTGTATGTGGGTAGTCCGTACGTCTCTTCTTGGGTGCTTTGGAATCAGGGTTTCTACCAACTTCCCATTATTATGGCCGATCGCGTTATAGCCCCGAATGCTGGCTTATTTTTCTCTTTCTTTGGTGGGAAAGCACTTTCTTCCCAAGAAGACAGTGAGTAGAGGTTCCTCAGTATTCCATCACCACCAAAAGTGTGTTTTGACTCGAGAGGTTCGCCTCCCGGTTTACTTGATTCCACTGTATCCTACCCTCACTTTCACACACATTGTTAGATTGCTAGCCATTTTTAATTTTTACTAAAACTCAAGCCAACTAAATTATAATCAATCTCAAATATCACTCAATTCGGATATTGTCAGTTTAAAAAATTACGCTTAATAACCTATTATGTAGTATTGAATAAAGTGAAAATGATTACATGTTCAACAGATACTACACACAGAAATGCAAACGAAGCACTCAAGCTGAAAATAGCTTGTCGATCATTTTTAATAACGGGGAATGGTACACATGCTCTCAAATCCCATGTGATTTCACTACCGTTAAAAACAAATGTTAGGTTTTTCGTAGTAAATTTATTTCCTCTGTGGATAAATCTCCTTTGAGTGAATATTTATATTCCACTTGATACATTTACGTTTGAAGTCCGCATGTAACTGATTTGCTAAACTTACAATTATCCATTGCAGACTATCTTAAGGCCTCGAAGATAATTATTTCAATCAGTTGAACGCCTCTTCTTTTTTCAGTAGGTACAGCTAATTTTGTACATTTCCCTACTCGTCTCGAGGCACGGTTAGACGGATTTATGAGCAACTCTACAGTCTTTACAATGATTAAGGAAGAGCCTAATAACACCTCTGATTACCACGATGATTTTCTAACTCGGGATTTCTAGTGAAACTAAACGCCTTTATCTTTGTGTTCAACAACATTCAGGAATATATGTTTCTCCTGATAACTTAGCCAGGTTTAAAGCAGTGGATTCTAAGTCTGACTCCTCTGTTTTAATGCAGTCCTATATATATGATAAAATCTCACAAACTATTTAAATTTTTGCCAAATAATTTATTACTCCATCGAGACCGTTTAACTGAATTTTTCACATATAGACGGCTCTATGGCAAAAAGGCATATGAGTTTGGCATGAAAGACGTCGAAACAGCTAACACTTCTTATTATGAATTAAACACGATACCTAAGTCAGATATCTACCGATTGTACTCTGAGCAACAATAACCGTCGCAGAATGTAGTTGGCGATGAAACAGCTCCGTGGTGCTCGAGAGAACTCCTGCTCCGATAGAGAAGTAGTAAATCATCCATTTGCCTCAGTATCCGAGAATTAGCATCCTTCATCTTTTCCGTTACGATGAAATTAACAGTCTCCATATCGGAGGTTCTTAATGCTCTGAGGTAACTGAAAGTCAGTAAGGATTTTGGTCCAAATTAACTGCTGAGATCATGGACTGAACAACATACGTTACTCAATGCTGGGTTGTTTTACTTGTGCAAAGCTTCTGGAACGATCCCTGACTGTTTCGGATCTGTTTGAATAAGACTCATTTCGCCTCGAAGAAAAATCAATTAAATGAGGGCAATTTACCTGAACCTACAAATTGCTGAAAGCTCAGAATTCTGTTGAACCCTAAGGGGATACAGAGTGTCAGAGAGGAGTAATTCTGCCAGTGCTTTCTGTTTTACCTGAAGGGTAACACTCCTATCTCTGGTCCCATCCAATATTGAACTCTCACGTGTTGGCCTCTCGTCGCTTCTCTCCAAATGCAGTAGCCCCACCGCGGAAATCACCCAACAGTGTGAAAACCACTTGAGATTGCAATTCCATAAGTGACCGATTGTTCATTTATTTCATTAATCGCGTTACTGTGGTAGGCAGAAGAAAGAATAACCCCCAAATCCACGAGAACCTAAATTTCTAAATCCGCGACCTACACTCACGGTTCTCTGGTGGCAAACCATGTAACGTACCACTAGGATAATCCAGCGTTTTATGGTATCGGGACTTCTGGTGCAATGTTAATTCCTTTCGTACTAGACCACTGCGCATCACCTAACGTGAAAAATCAACATAAAAATCCAGTCACCAGGAAACCTTTTAGATAACATCTGCTCAACGAGATAGATGCGCACCTTTTCCAAGGGGACATTGGTCAACATTAATTTGCTTGATACCTTGCGACGGTCTATATGCCGGAAGACCACATGGAGCGGACAATACTCCTGTGGCATACAAAAGATGTTTAATAAGAACTCTGTTCTACCGTGCCAGGAATATTTACTCTCCTGACACTCTTCAATAAGAGGCTTTTCTGTGAAGGATCCAGAGAAATATATTAATGTGCATAGCAAACGATCACCACCAGTTGATCCCGTCTGCGAAGCACGGATGAAAAGCGACTTCCTCAGATTTGCCCTCAAGGGTGATCATATAATGAAAGATGTGCATCAGAAGTTCAGGGCAGCATGGTACCGAACGTTTCATGCTGCACAGTTTCGATTGATAGAGTATACATAAGGTCTTCGTTTGGACAATTGAAAATAGAACCAGTAGCACAAGTCTGCTTCACCAGTTCATCTGCTGTTGCGGTAACACTTAGATCAGCGGGACGAACCGACTCGTGTCACACTGGATGTCTGAACACATTCCCAAGTGAATGGGACGATAGATGACGCAACACAGTTTTAGAGGTCAATCGGATAAGAGAAATCTAGGGTCATCAACCGCAAAACATCACTTGACAACTGGAAACATCGCTGACCCATAATTGTCGTTTAAACCGCTGTTGCCAAACACGTATTCCAGAATCTTTGCTTTCAGCAAAGCAATGTTAATCAAATTACGTAATCCAATTTCAGGTGCAAAACGTTTCTGGCACAATACAAATATTTTGTTACACACTTTCGT